CATTATTAAAAATTTTAAACGAGATACCAGTTTATTCCTAAGTCTGACGCAAACTTTATTAAAGAATTGCCTGATCATCGAGATAATAAGGAAGCAAGTTATCAATTTTATAGTAGTTTTTAACATGAGAATAATTACTATATGGACCAAAATGGCGGGTCCAGCTGATTTGCATTCAACAACGCATTAAATGTATTATTATGAATACATTGTGTCTAGGTATTTCATTGATCTTGATACAGATATCACATTTTCATAATTAGATGGTATAAAGTTGAAAAGTTTGAGCACCATTGTAGAAGATAACCTTTATATCTAAATAAAAAGATAATTAAATAATGAAGTGTATAAAGAATGAAACAAATAACAAAATTAATGTCATTGGTTTTCCTTTATTTATCTCAATATTATAAAATAATAAATTATATAAAGTAAAAATATACTAAATTAACATTATTAAAGATTACAGTAAAAACTTATTAATTTAAAGAATAAAAAGTAAAATAAAAAAGAATTCTTCCCAAAATTGGAAAGTATTATAATATTCACAAAATCTCAAATATATATCTTTCCTTTAATCCTCATTTACATAGTTTCTCATCTTAATATCGTAATAATTCTTCTAATTTGAATAGGCCATTTTTTGTTTAAAAGTATTCATCTGAATATTACAACAGATATAGAATTATTTTAAGTGGCTATAAATATAACAATGTTATTAAGGCCCTGCCGATCCATAAATTTTAATTGATTCGATATTCATGCAAAACCTATCCTATATCCGATATTTAGATTGATTTTAATTCACCATTTATCTATGGAAAAAATCTCATTAAAAAAAATCAATATATTCTGTAGGAAGCACTGAAATTTTTCGTTTCTCGTGAGGCGGTATTTAGCACATTAACACGAATAATTTAAAATTTTTTATTGCCGAATGTAAATCGTTTTTTCATATTTTTATAAGTACTTCTTTCCTTAATAATTTATTTCTTTTTAAAAATATAAATATATTTTGTGATTTATTCATTTATTATTGATAGGAAATTAAAGATTATGTGTAAAATAAAAATAAAATGTATAATTTTTCTATTCATTTACTATTTACAGGAAATTAAAAATTATGCATAAAATTAAAGATGATATATATAATCATAAAATAACCGAGGAAAATGAAAAGGTAGGATCGGATAGGTTACCTTGGAAAATATCAGCCCGATTAGTATTAATATTTTAGCCAGAAAAATATTAAGCAGGCCTGAGGATTTAGGTCATAGATAGCACAAATGTTTATACATCTATCAACGAAACCTCGAGTATTCGCTTATTAATTTATTATTATTATTATAAAATTAATTATGTGTAAAAATAACAATTTTATATAAATCGGATTAGTTTTTTTTTAAAATATCGGCCCGGTTAAAATACGCGAAATTAGTATTGTTAAACGGCTCATTTTGAGCCGATTTTTTAAAACGGCTAACTCAATATTTTAGCCAGAAAAATATTGCCTAAGTCTAGAGATTTCGATGATATATGCCCAGACCTTTGTTCCTTCTATGAGCAAAATCTTGAGGCTTGCATAATATTTTTCTGGACAAAATATTGAGTTAGCCGTTTTTAAAAATCGGCTCAAAACGAGCCATTTAACAACACTACGCGAAATATCATCTCCGATCCGATATTTAATATCGGTAGAACCATAATATTATCCTTATGTCTGGCAAGTTTAAATAAAATTATTTTTATACAACTATAAATTTACAATAGTAGGTTTGGATTTATAATTAGTTTTCTTCTCAATGAAAGAACATCTGTTGGTATATATTTTATTATAAAAGGTTTATTTGACGGCGGCTAAAAAGCAGTATGCTGTCAGCCGCAATTCGATTTTTAAAATTCACGCCGGCAGCCAATAATTTCGTCGGGCACAGATCTACATACATTAATTTTTCGAACTTTCCCATTTATCACCGTTCCCACTCCGTCCCCGTTTCATAATTTCCTCAGGTTCGGTTCTCGGAATGTTCCAATAAAATTTCACTATTTATGTAAAATAAAATGTTTTTATTCAGAAAAAAATACTAATTAAAAGAAACTAATCATAATTCAAAAGGAAAATCTCAAATTCATAAATTTTATTACATATGTATGTTAAAGGCAATGTGTTATTTTTTCAACTTTGAGGTTTTTTTTAAATTTAAAAATCTGATTTTACAGGAAATGCATCATGTTTGTCTTAACATAATATATTAACCATGTTTTAAATTATATAAGTGAATAAAAAAATATTTTTATATATTAAAAAAATTTTTTTTTATTAATTAAAATATTTAAATTGTGTTCAGCCATTAAAATATAAAACCCTAGTAAAATTTCAAATATTCACACTAAAAATAAATAAATTCTATTAACTATTTTATATCTATGTGTATAATATATAATGATTTTTACTTTATGTATTTATTATAATAATTGAATAAGTCAATGAAATACAATATAAAATAAATTATAACAGGATATTTATAGTTATTTTGTACAATATAGTAAATATTACAATCATCTCCTTAAAATACGTGATATATAGCGCTTTTGCCCTCTAGCGTTGAAGATTCAACAGAGCTACGCTAGGTTTTCCTCATTTCCATCTAATTGGAACAATTTAATTTGGGTATAAAAGTAAAAATATGAGGAGCCCTCCACACGTTTGTGGGCAAGCCGCACGTACTTGTAGGCACAACATTTCGAAAAATGTTGCTTAAACCTCTATATAGGCTTTAATTTAAAAGGAGTAGGACAAAGAAAAAGCCTATACCCATGAACTACAATATAATTTAATTACTTTAAGGGTGGGCGGTGGATCGTTTTTAATTTAATAATTTTACAAATTTAATACAAGTTTAAGTAAGAAAAATTAAAGAATACTTCCAAAAAAGTTGAATAATTGTTGATAGGGAACCTTTAGATAATGATATGTGAGCAAAGAACTATAAAATACGTTTTCATTTGAGGTAACTTTTTTTGAAGCGGAAAAGTTTTTTGATGGATCTGTTAAGTTTTATGAATTGTTTCATATTGATATTTAAATCCATTATATCTTTTATGGATTTATAGTACCATAAGGATTTATATTTTGTATATTGTTTTCCCTTATGTGTGTACAGCCATGCTATGGCGTCATGAGCTAAATTGTGGTCGGAGTTCCTTATTATGAGCTAGGAACTGGATACGGCGTTTTTTTACAGTGATATTAATTGGCGTGTGATTAGATTTTTTCCAGAGATTTTGGTTTGATATGACTCTTGGATAGAAAATGCCATTAATTGTACGTAGGCAATTATTTATAAATGATTGTAATCGTCTCATTTCCGTCTTATTTGCTTCCCAAATTTCCCCACCATATAATAGAATCGGAACAATTGTCGAGTTGAATAACTTCAGTCTGGTAAAAACAAAGATCTCTTTTGTTTTCCAAATTTTCATATACTTGTAGAAGGTTCCCTTTATTCTTATAGACAATTCCTCTTTACCACTACCTTTATTGTCTAGTGTTATACCCAAATATCTAATTTTATCTACAACCTTAATTATTTTTCTTCCAAAAGTAAGATTGTCCATTGGTGGAGCATTTGGGGAGGGTAGAATAACAGTTTTTTTGAAATTTATTTCAAGTCCAACTCTTTGACTTAGGGTCTCTAGTAAGTATAATAAATTTTTGGTTTCATCTATGCTCTTGGAGATTACAACAATGTCGTCAGCATAAGATATTATTCTGTTAACAAAAGATATGGACTTATCGGAACAGATCAGCTGCCCCTAGTGCTTCTCTTATAACTTTATTAATTATCATATTAAATAGGAGTGGTGATAGAGTATACCCCTGTTTTACTCCTTTTTTGATTCTAAAGCAGGGAGATATTTTATCGTTTATTCTAAAACACGCTACTAATTTAGAGTAGTGGTTTTTTAAGATGAGGATTATTTGAGGTTCTATTCCACATTCAGCTATCGTTTCCCAAAGAGCTCCGTGATCAACATTATCAAAAGCTCTACTAAAGTCGATGAAAGTATAATAGGATGATATTTTGTATTTATAACATTTCTGCATTATTATTTTCAAGGCTAATATTGGTTCTAGTATGTTTTTATTCGGCCTATAAGCACAAATGTATTTGGGGAAAAGATGGGGCTTCGAGTTCACAATTTTATTTTTTAATAACGTCATAAATATTTTAGATACACATGATGTCAGAGCGACGGCACGATAATCTGTGAAATTCCCTGGATTCTCAATTTTGGGGAAATTACATAAAAATGATTCATTCCATTCCTCCAAAGTTTTCCCATATTTTGTTAAAAAGGGTCAAAAGGAAGGAAGAGACAGTCCTAGGTGCAATTTTCAGATACTCAGCTGTTATGTCATCAGGCCCCGGAGCTTTGTTTCTGCGTAATTTTTTTATTATGTTAGTAATCTCATCAATAGAAAAGCCAGATGGGGGTGAGACCAAAATTGTATTTAAGCTAGCTGGTGGGGTTGCTTTCCTTGAATCAAAGACTGTCATGTAATAATCAAGCCATACAGCTATTTGTTCATCTTGATCTATGATCACTTTCCCATTCCTTAAGACAATGGCGGGAAGTTTCTTAAAGCTACTAGGTTTACAAAAATATTTTAATTTTTTATATGCGTCATAAATCCTGTTTTCCTTCATATCCCTATCAATGTCAAAGGCTTTCCTCGCGATAACATACGTCTATCTCTGCGTAGTAGTTTCTGTATATCCTTCCATAAGTCGCTTTTTGGGCCGTTCACGCTTCTTAACAAATTTATTTTCTCAAAATTAATGATTGATTTCTTTTTAAATATTTCTAATCAATTATCGTTTTTGGATTCTATAAAATCTGCAGCGAAATATTTAAAAGTGTATGTTTGCATTTGCACCAAAAAATTATTTATTTAACTATTTAAAAAAATCATAAATCACATTAATGGACTATTATAATCCTTTTTTTTAAAAAAAAAAGCATAAATAATACATATTTTTTATTGCAAAACACATTCCAAATAATATTAAATCAAGAATGAGCTGGTTTATTCTGTAGTTCTTGGGGAACGATATCTTTTGATTCTGGCTTCATTGCTGGAAATAGGATAACTTCCTAATAATTTGTATAAATTATTATATATATATTTTAATTGTAGGATAAATATAATATTTATATAATGTCATTTAAAATTGTAATAGGTTTATAAATGCATGATTTAAAAAAAATGACTTGAGATGTTATATAATAACTGAAATAAGTTTTCAATGTTAATAACGTGAGATTTCAAATATTGTTGCTAGTTTTTTTGAATTTTTTTAAAAAAAATATTTGAATTTATTAAGTCATAAGTGTGGGGCGACAGGGATCAGGGAATATACAATAGAATTATTTATATATAAATAATAATTGAAAATTATAAGGAAAATTTCTGGAGGAAAGAAATAAAAAAAAATAACTTTAATACTCCTGGTATCAGTTAAAAGCATAGTTAATCTATCTATGCCCAAGCCCCACCCTCCAGTAGGCGGAAGACCGAACTCCAAAGCTCGAACAAAATTATCGTCCACTCCTTGGGCCTCTTCGTCGCCTGCCATCTTTTCCTAAATAATTTTAATTAACATTTGATAGTTTGGAAAAAAATATAATTCATTTTTAAATTTAATATGAAATAGCAATTAATAATTATCCAATTGATCTCAGTCTAAATAGAGTTTAGGATTACCTTAGCCTGTAATTCAAACAACTCCCTTTGAACGAATGGGTCGTTGAGCTCAGTGTAGGCATTGCAGATTTCACGGCCGCAAACAAATAATTCGAACCTTTCTGTCAAGCCAGGAATGCCCCTGTGCCTAAATTTAGTTAGAAATAAGATAATATTTTTGTATGGTTGTTGATTTATTTGGGTATGCACCAACATATTTTAGGCGCAATAAAGGTAAATTCCTCTTTTTATATATATAAAGAGACGCCATCACACTCCACCTAAAATCAATAGTTTATGAAATGACATCTTTAAGAGCTGAAAGCGATTTTTGGGCAACCACTCAACTTGATTGTGAACCGGAGAGGGTTCTAGCCCATTTTGTTGTTAAGGTTGGCAGGGAGTTAGACAAAGATTAAAAAAGAAATTTCAAAATTTTATTTAAAAAACTAAAAATATATTTTTCCTCTTTATATAGTTTATAATATCAATTTATATAAAAAAAATCTATTAAATAATTTATATCAAACTATTGAGTTAATATTATAAAATGAGTCCGTGAGGTTAATATTAAAGAATAAAAAAATCAATCTTTAAGGTTAATATTGAGCTAATAGATACCGAAAAATAAATATTAAAAAGATCAATCAGGACATCTCAACATTCCACCCTTTAAGAAAACTCCATTTTCGAACGTGTGCACATCGACTTTGCGCAATTTGAAGGTAGCAATTTTATGGTATGTGTTGACGCACTTAGCAAATTTCCTATTATTAGAAAAATGAGAGGCATAACCACTGAGTCAACAATTAAAGAATTGATGTAAATAATCAGCTTACTTGGTATACCTAATAAAATAGTCAGTGATAATGGTACTAACTTTACAAGTAACATTCAAGAAATTTTGCGATGATCATGGAATTAAACACATTCTCACCATGCCTCATCACCAACAGTCCAATGGTCAGTGTGAGCGAATGATAAGATCAATGAAAATAGGCATGAAAATTTATATGGAAAGTAATAATAAAATAGATTTAGATATAGCTTTAGAAAAGTTTTATCAATTATCATAACACACCAAACGCAACAAACAAGATACCAAGCGAAGTGATGTTCAACAGAACCATAAGAACCAGATAGGATTTAATCAAACTACAAGAAGATAAAGTGAATGAATTTAATCGTAATTTATCGTCAAATAGAAATATCATGAATGGTGACAAAGTTTGGTATAAAACCTTCAAGGATTATATATGGGACAAAGGCACGGTAAAACGCACAAATGGGAATTTATTATATGAGATAGATACAGGAAACAGAATTATTAAAAGACATTTAGACCAAATCAAAAAAAGGTCAACGAGTATCATACCTTTTAATAATGAAATGACACATATGAAAACAAATACCAATAATACAATACCTTGTACTCTAAGTAATAAAAGGGGAAGAAATGCTGATGAACCAGCGGGAAATCGAAATATAGGATACAAGAGTCTTGATAGTCAACGAATAGAATTAAAACGTAGCCTGCGCGATATCGAAATTATGTTATGAACTTAAAAGATTTACATCCAAGAAGAACCGGAATGAAGTTCATTTCTTAAAGGGTGGAATGTTGAGATGTCCTGATTGATATTTTTAATATTTATTTTTCGCTATTTATTAACTCAATATTAACCTTAAAGATTGATTTTTTTATTCTTTAATATTAACCTCAAGCACTCATTTTATAATATTAACTCAATAGTTTGATATAAATTATTTAATAGATTTTTTTATATAAATTGATATTATAAACTTTATAAAGAGGAAAATATATTGTATTTTTAGTTAAATATTTTTTAAATAAATTTAATAAATAAAAATTTTAAAATTACTTTTTTAATCTTTGTCTAACTCCCTGCCAACCTCAACATGTTGTAAAATTGGCAACTTTAGCAATACAATTGCAAAATTTTGGCGAACCCAGTAAAAAAAGTTGAGAATATTATTCGCTGTTTAGAAATTAAAGTGCGCTTTATTATTATTTTTAAAACATTCAAAATATAGACATTATGATAGTTACAAATATCTTAGTAAACAATATTTTAGTAATCAGCTTATCATGCGCATGGTGTATTTTTTTTTAGCTAAGCTTTAAGGAAGAGTCAATAAATTTTTCACTATCTCCAAGGTGGAGAGATCAAAAACCCTCGAAGGTAAGGTGCTAGATTTTGGACGAAAAACTTAGTAATAAGCCTTTTTTTTGAATGGGATAAGAGCCTAAAAATGGAGGCCTTACCAAACTTGTCATAAAAGGCATTTTTTCATAGATTATTTAAATAGGACAGTTAATAATGCTAAACAGCGATAAATTTTAAAAAAATATTTAAAAAGACATAATTATTGGATTTATAAAATAAATCTTTTAACCAATATTCATAATAGACTTAACACAAATTTTCAAGATAAAATGAATATAGCGCACTCCACTTTATAGCCAGGGTACAAATATATAAAATTGAATGATAAATCAAGCTAACCATTTGGCCAGAGGTGACATAATTTGAGGATGCTCGGTAATGAATGTAGGATCGACTATTTGCGATTCTATAAAGTGACCTACAAGCTAATGAATTTGATTTATAATGTATATTATATAATGAGTTATTTAATTGATATGCAAATTCTATTCGATACATTTTATTAAATGATTGAAACGGATATTCTAATTTATTACAAAATAATCTGAACAATCAAATTTTGTTTAAAAAAAATAGATATAATTATGCTTCATTACAATATTATTCCCCACCAAACGATCCTTGTTGAATCGAATATTGGTTAATAATTTTCGGGTCTATAAACTCAAATTAGGTTTCACAAATTGAAAAATGTTTTGTTGGACATTTTAAGAACCAGATAGCAGGAATTAACCGGGGATAGTTCGGCTCCCGTTCAAAAACGGTTCTGATCAAGTTTGTGTCATCAAACTTTCCGCTAATCATAGTTTGATTCCTGACACCTAATTTTGTTTCACAGGCCTGATCCGTTATCGAAAAAAAAAGCAAATATAAATTAAACATAATTCAATAAATTTAGTTAATCGCTTTACTTTATCAAGTAAACGTGCCGTCGACCTAGGAGCAGTACAATCCACACCGTGTTCAATGCATATACCGTCCAAAAATTTGTTCATCTCTGTGTATATTTAAAAAAATATATATATTTTATCACAAAATTTGCCCATGATACTTTAATAACGTTTACAAGATAATTAATAAGGGTCACGAGTGATAAATGAAAGTGATTGAGGCAGGTAGACCCAATTAAATTTATAATGACCTAGAATACTGATTCATTCACTAGAATGAAAAGTGTACACACATTGAAATCCACCATTGAAAGGCATTCAGACGACAGACAATGACATCGATTACTGCTGACTTCAATGTGTCCATTTATAATAACTGAATCTTCAGTTTCTGTTAGTAATAATGTAACTGAGTAGACCATAAAATTAATTATCGAATCAATTAGTAGACTTTGATAAACAAAATTTTATAAGAAACATGGGTTGATATGAGAATACTTTACTTTAAAGTAAATATCTAATGCAGCCCACCCAGATTAAAATTTTTGGGCTCTATTTGGCCATACTTCTTTGTAAGCAACAAGATTGCAAGTCATACCCAAATTAGACATATAAAATTTTGAGATGAGAAACACTCAATAGTTTTTTATTCTTCTAAAGCTGTCTAAATTAAAAGAAAAATTCATAAAAATTTCCAAAATTTTTTAAAAAATTAAATTACAAATTTTCAAAAAATTTGTTTTTTGGACATAACCAAAAATTTAGCAAGGTAGTGGCTAATAATAAAAAATAGCTTCAAGAACTAAAATAGCTAAATTATTTAAGGCTAAAACATCTAAGGCTCACATTTGTGCTCTTTTTAATATATTATTTTTTTTAAAAATCTTGCTATTTAACAACTTTCAGGATCGGAATCGAAAGGCGGAAATTTTCGGTGTGTGAGTCTTTCTAACTCTGGAATCATTCTAATTCTCTTGAAAGGAGGTTCAAAGTTTATTTCCACCCATTTAGTTTTAACAGCTTCATCCTCGTCGCCTGTTGGCACATCCCCCAAATCTTTGCTATTTATCTCATTTTTATGTGCAACATCATTTGCCGTTTGGACATCGATAGAATGTGGATCAGAATGGAGAACGGGCATGCGATATTTGACCTTGTAAGAGTCGTTTCCGTTGAGGTACTTAACCATCCCTGTTTTAAATTAAATATATAAAAAATCAATATTTGAAGGTGAACTGGGAAGCGGTTATGATCTCTTTTACCAAAAATCAAAGTTGCTAGGATGCTAAATGTTTGTTTTAACATAGCTTTTTTTAGTAGTATGCATCTAATGACAAATTTTTTTTTAATGAATTGTATATAATTTTGAGGTTTAATCGCAAAGTTTTTTTCAGACTTCATTTCATTATTCATTTATCATTCATATATAAATGAAGTCTTATGGCAACAACTATTTTACAATTTGATAGTTATACGAGCACATATATGACTAGAATAAGCCCGCTATATTCTGCTGCACGTGTTAATGAAAAAGGGCTAAAAATTAACTTCAGAACAAAAGATAATCAGGCACCCTTTAGATGTTTTGTCCATTCGATATCATAAATACTGTATATTTTTTGATTTCTTACTTTATTCATTAATCCATTGATATTTGCAATATTTTCTAGTTATTGATCCTATATCACGACAAAATATCTTACTCCTTATTTCTACATTAGACCGCATATGATAAATACAACCTATTTGCAGAATCAATGAGATTAGATTCCATCATTATGCATTGAATTTTACAAAAATGAAACATTATCTGCATACTAGGAAACAATATTTATTGCTCGAGTCCTACATTGATAATATTTTTGTATTAGAGTTTGCAATATTATTAAGCTTTGCAGGATTTTAGGATTTAACTATTTCGCGAGATAGTCGAGTTTTGCGGGATATAAATCATAAAACATATGGTTCTAGAATCTAGATATTATTTATCAATCACATTAGTAAAGTTGAGGTTAGTGGGAGAATGCAGTATTATAAATGTTAATTTTAAATTTATATATTATTCTTTAGTTGTTATAAAAGAAACATTCCTAAAAAAAATTAATTGCTAAAAAAATAAGAGACATAGCTTTAGCTTACATTACATGAAGAGATGATATAATCCCAAGAGGAATCGACTCTATATTGCTAAACATCAATAATATAACAAAACATTCAATATAGACATGTGAAGCTTGGGAAATATGATTTGCTCAAATATTTTTATAAATAATTTGGTTCATTCATAAAAAAATAATTAATAAAAGACATTTCAATCAATCCATAATTAACACGGCAAGGTAAAAACAATTTTTTCCCTTTTACATATATATTTAACATATTTATTAAATCGGCTGTAGAACCTTTTAAAGAAACAAATCTAGTATAGTCTAAAAGAAATCATCCTCACCTTTTCACTTTAAAATATATTTCTTTAGATAATAACCCAACTAAAGGAATTAACTGGATGAAATATATTTAATACATAGGATTAGTGGTTAGAGAGATAACGGTTAGGGTTAATTAAAGGTTTGAGAGATATGGATTAGGTTAAAATATATAAAAAACGTTTGTTCTATAAAATTTAATAATTGTTTTAATATAGCCAAATTTAAAAACCTGATAACAATAGTTCTGTTAATTCAATGAGGTCATTGTAATCGGCGTAAGCCATGTAGAATTCACAAGAAGTGAATTCGGGGTTGTGAGTTAAGTCTATGCCCTCGTTACGGAATAGCCGGCCAATCTCGAAAACTCGATCCAACCCGCCAACCACCAACATCTAATTTTATTTTTTTAAATAATAATCACTTGAAATTATCATTTTTTCCTTAATAGTTTTACCTAGAATTTTTTTTAAATTTTCATTCATATTCATACATTCCCTCATTCGGATAATAATTGCATTTCAAGTTTTTATTGAACGGCGTTTTCTTTGATGAACGCGTTCAATTTTACGTTCGTTCAATTTTAAAAACACTTTTTATTTTTATTTATTTGAAAAATTAATATTAATCTTGAATTTTTTAACAAAAAAGTCTTATATTTTTATTTATTTGAAAAATTAATATTTAATCCAATTTTTTAACAAAAAAGTCTTATATTTTTTAATCAGCTGTTTTTACTTTTTCCTTTTTCATATTGCAATTAACGTACCATAGTACTACTGCTAGAGAAGATAAGATTAAAGTTTATTAATTTGAATATTTTATATTTTAATTTAATAGATTAGCATTTGCATGGATATAAATATTTCATCATCAGATTCTGAAAATCAAAATTCAATATTAGATGAATTAGAATTACCATGGCCCAAATATCAAAAATATTTCACTGTTTTAAAATCAATTCCGAGATATCCTTTTTATTTGACGAGGAAGAAGAGGGCAGATTGGAGGATGATAACATAGCTCAATTTTTTGAAACAATGGATAAAACATTAAATGTTTTTAATAAATTCCCCCTTTTAAAAGAATTGTTTATCAAGTATAACACCGCAATCCCTTCATCAGCCCCTGTTGAGCGAGTTTTTAGTATAGCTAACGCTGTATTAACTGACAAGCGTTCATGCCTATCAGATGAAAATTTTGAAAAACAATTATTATTAAAAATTAATAAGAAAATTTTTTTATAAATTTATTTTTTATCGCTCTATTATATTGTATTTATAATTATATTATCAAAATAAAACTATTATTTTTTATCATGGCTAATATATTGTGTTGAAAAATATAAGGCATTTATTTATATTAAATTAAATTTAAAAAATAATTTATCATAAAATTTTGAACGTATGAACGCGTTCATGAACTTAAACGCGTTCCTTTTTTTGAATTTGAACGTGAACGCGTTCGATTTTAATCAATGAACGTTAAACGCGAACGCGTTCGATTTTTTTAAAAATGTTTACAGCACTAATTTTTATATATAAAGAATTAATATAATTTTTCTTAAAATTAAGTAAGAAGGTGAGCATGAGGGAGTCCAATCGATAAATCATAGGGAAAAGGCTATTTTGGACTCATTATACATTTAATGAAATTAAAAGAAGATATATTAAAGATATGTGGAATATATGGGTATGATTTAAATGTTATAATTGTGCTGAATTTTGATTATTTTATAAAGAATTATATTTTTTTTTTGGTTAATTTTTTTTTGAAAAAATAATAATACCGAAAATAAATAAAGAATTATATTTTTTTTTTGTTGTTATTTTTAATTTTATAAATTTATACTGTTCGATAATTTCTATTTTATAAGTATTTATTGTTTAGAAATATTTCCCTTCTTTTTAAGTATCTTTATTTTCCAATAGCATATGGGTTACAAATATTCTTTTTTTTACACACAAAAATTTCTTAATGATAAAATAAAAAAAAATACGCGTTTTTATAAACTTTTCTTTATTTATTTTTGGTATTACTATTTTTACAAAAAAAAATAACAACAAAAAAAAATATAATTCTTTATTTATTTTCGGTATTATTATTTTTACAAAAAAAATAACAACAAAAAATAAATAAAATTCTTTAATTATTTTCGGTATCATTATTTTTACAAAAAAAAATAATTCTTTATTTACTTATAAAAAAAATAATCAAAATTCAGCACATGTTCCCACCAAATGAGATCCAAATCCTATCACTACAATCCCAATAATTCTTCCAATTCCTGAGCTGACAGTTCTATCATAGGCCAGCTATCTCTTCCATCCATCTCAGAATCATTATAGTCTCCCCCATGTAGGGTTCCACGACAGCCATCGGTATGATTGTATCCGGCCCGCTGGTTCCCCTAACCTCCGGCGTCCTCAGTCTCGTTACCGGTGGTAATACCGTATGCATCGGCCGTATTTCCTCCCGACTGTCGTCTCGGCTTTGTTCGTTCATTATTTTCCCAATGGCGACGGTTGGTTCTTCTATTACTCGGCCCACGGGGGCACCAGTCCTGCAAATGTTCTGTCGATCTGCATAGGTAGCACACTCGTCTTTGGTGCCGCAACCGCGTCTGTCTGGGTTCTGGCAACTCCGGACTACCATTCATTATCCTTGTCCCCCTACCAGCCATTCCAGGTCGTACGTTTGGCTGTCTCCTATCCGTCGTTCCGCTCCCCAATGTTCTCTGCACAGCTGGTCCCTGTCTTAATGGAGGTAATTGTTGGCCGGAACATAGACAGACGCGGTTGCGGCACCAAAGACGAGTGTGCTACCTATGCAGATCGACAGAACATTTGCAGGACTGGTGCCCCCGTGGGCCGAGTAATAGAAGAACCAACGGTCGCCATTGGGGAAATACCTTGCTGGATTAATTTAAGAATTTAAAGAAATGACAGGCGTACATCGCTGTTTATAAGCCGTTTTCCAGGGATATGTGGATGAGGAGGGCCAACAATTACCTCCATTAAGACAGGGACCAGCTGTGCAGAGAACATCGGGGAGCGGAACGACGGATAGGAGACAGCCAAATGTACGACCTGGAATGGCGGGTAGGGGGACAAGGATAATGAATGGTAGTCCGGAGTTGCCAGAACCCAGACAGACGTGGTTGCGGCACCAAAGACGAGTGTGCTATCTATGAAGATCGAAAGAACATTTGCAGGACCGGTGCCCCCGTGGACCGAGTAATAGAAGAACCAACGGTCGCCATTGGGAAAATAATGAACGAATAAGGGAGAGGAGCCGAGACGACAGTCGGGAGGAAATACGGCCGGTACGTAAGGTATTACCACCAGTAACGAGACGGAGGACGCCGGAGGTTAGGGGAACCAGCGGGCCGGATACAATCATACCGATGGCTGTCGTGGAACCCTACATTGGGGAGACTATAATGATTCTGAGATGGATGGAAGAGATAGCTGGCCTATGATAGAACTGTCAGCTCAGGAATTGGAAGAATTATTGGGATTGTAGTGATAGGATTTGGATCTCATTTGGTGGGAACATGTGCTGAATTTTGATTATTTTTTTTATAAGTAAATAAAGAATTATATTTTTTTTGATTAATTTTTTTTTGTAAAAATAATGATACCGAAAATAATTAAAGAATTTTATTTATTTTTTGTTGTTATTTTTTTTGTAAAAATAATAATACCGAAAATAAATAAAGAATTATATTTTTTTTTGTTGTTATTTTTTTTTGTAAAAATAGTAATACCAAAAATAAATAAAGAAAAGCTTATAAAAACGCGTATTTTTATTTTATCATTAAGAAATTTTTGTGTGTAAAAAAAAGAGAATATTTGTAACCCATATGCTATTGGAAAATAAAGATACTTAAAAAGAAGGGAAATATTTCAAGAGTAAACAATAAATACTTATAAAATAGAAATTATCGAACACGAACAGTATAAATTTATAAAAATAATATATTAAATTAATATTATTTCGCGAAATTTTGTTTTCTTAATTGTTCAGAATTAAAAATACTCATCAGTAACGAATTTTTTCTGAAATCGAAGATACTAAAATTTTATTATGTGATACAAATACAATAAAAATATTTTACAATATCCATTTATTGCCCTGATTTCAAATTATTTGTATTATTCGTATTCAAACAAGATAAAAAAAAGTGAAATTTGATTTATCACAAGAAATATTATATAATATTGATAAGGTTCATCCTGTAACGTGGAATTAAAGTTTAGCCAATCCCCCAGCTCGCCGAAACTGATGATTGATGGCCTAAATTTTTTTAAAAAAATTCTAAGTTCAATCATGCTAAGCAAAGTTATTTGTGGTTTTCAGATCCATCATGATTACTCCCGGTTTTAATCTCAGTTCAAATAATTTAAAGATTTTTTCCACTTAAACTATCCTTATTTCCGTTTAACACATATCTAATATTCTCATGATTATTAAAAAACTATAACATTGAGATTAAAATAAAGTTAAATAAACAATTTTATAAGTAAAAAATTTAACTTAAAAAATATAATCTGCCATATTTGCATTATTAAACTATGGCAAATAATAAATCAACATTTGCAATTATAATTAATTACGTAACATTATAAAATATAGCAAAACATTTTTAAAAACTTAGCAATAAAACTTAGAAAAAAAACATAGTACTTCACTAAAAAAACATAACTTTTTAATTGAGATATATAGCATATAATTTGTTCCCTAAATATATTTCCGACTAAATATAATAGTTAAAAAATTTATAAATATGGTGTGACCTTTAGATAAAGCTCAGGTGCGACCCTCATGTAAAGGTGCATATCCAAATCATTGTGATGGGTTACAAATGGTTTCGCGGCAGCACCCCCAGCTATAGTGCTCATCATAGGAGTTTCGACCTTTAAAATAAAATTCAAATTTGTCACACTTAATTTTTATTATGAATAAATCACAATTTATACTGTCCCCTTTCATTGTTTTAATTCAAATGTAATTTACGGGTCTTTTGATATCGATTTTTAGTTTGGGTTCAGTTTTTCGGCATCAGTTTGGTCTCAGACTTTCAGCAAATTTAAGGGATATTTCATTAAATTAAAAAAACGCAGGTTTTACTAATTATATTAATGGATGCCAACTAAGCCACATTCTGCAGGCTCAGCTCAGAATGAAATATGGTTAAAAAAATTCAAGCTGGGCTTAAAAATTTCAAAAGTAAATTAAACCTCTGGGACAGGACTATTTTAGGAAAAATAAAATTTTATCATTAATCAATTGTGAAATTATATCTTCAGATTTCCCTTCGAAACAATTTGCAAAAAATACAAGCAAAATTACTGTAAAATTAACAAAAATTTATTCAAAAAAAAAGAAGGCTATTATAAAATTATATTACTTCCAGGAATCCTAAAGAGTCGAAGAACCTTCTTATATAGTTGATAATTTTAGCTCGAGACACGAATCTGTTAGCCACAGATGGGTTGATTAATAAGTCCAGATATCTTTGTCTAAACCGGGTTTCCTTGAGTTATATACATGTATAGATTCCATATAATAATATAATTTATAAACGTAATCACATTGAAGTTATAAAATTTAAAAATTGTATAAATAATATTTTTGTTTCCCAGTAAAATTACAAAAATTAGGGATAAAAAAAATAGAATTGGGGAGTAAAAGGCATATCAAAATCCTGAATTAGGGTTTTATTGATTCATTGTGTAATTAATATAATAGAAATCAACCCAATAATATGTAAAGACATATAGCGTTAACAAATTCTCATCACCCCTGAGCTAGCCCGTACTTCTAAAAATGATACTTCACTATTTCCATCCCAGTTAAATCCAGCACTTATATATTAATACCGATATTATTATCTTCTATCATATTTATTCTTCAAGTTCATAATATAAAAATATATGTTTGCAAAACTTTATCTTTAAGTCCATAGTGTAAATGAGGTATTTGATGAAGACACGGAGATAACAAAGTCATTTGTATTGGGATTATGCTCAATTCTCCTTTCTTAGATCGAGCTAATTTTATTAAATTATTCATTTTTAAATGTGAACGAAGGAATATAATATAAATATAATTACTACACAAAATTATATTGCAATATGTGTATTCAAGGTCAGCAAGGCCCAGCCCAAACTGGCCCATAAAAATCTCCAAAAAGGGGTTCCAGTCCAGATGGTGAATTGTTTTGCCTGTAGAATAATGTTGTACAAGTTGTTTGGACAGTAATATTTTTTATGAAGGGAAAAAACATAAAGTTGCCTAAGTTTGGTTAAAAAAATTGAACTTGTTGCTTGCTCCATAAAAATATTATGCAAAGTTTTCCATCTAAAGCTTTTATTGTTCTATCTCGTAGGTAGTGTTAATAAAAACTTCAATTAATAAATATTTTCAACAAATATTACCTGAGCCTCAGGGGTCTTGCCAAAAGAGAGCCAAATCTTTCTGCCATTTTTTGGCAAATTTTTGAGGGCTTAAGTAATATGTTTGGTTAAAATCGTAATTTATTCGTTTTTAGAGAAATCTGTTACAATGTTTGCCAACCTCGTACATAATGTAAGATATTAACTCATAATTATTGAGCACTTAAATTATATTTCATTTTAATGAGTGTGACCCAATATGTCTTGTTTATGGTGCATTGATTAGTAAATAAATAAATTATATGTATAAAAACCTCTCAATAAATGCCACTTTATTGTGACCTCCTTAAAAATATTTACCAACAATTTAAACCAGGCAACAAAATATATGACATTTACAAGATAAGCACTTTAAATTAACCTTAGTCACTTTATGAAATTTAGCTTATAAAATATTTTTAAAAGAACGATTATTACTCACAAGGATATCCCCTAACACCCACTATATCACCTCGTTTCAATATTTCGTTTATATCGGCAAAAGCAGATGATTCACTGTCAGCTAAATAAATGAAATAATTTAAAAATAAATAATACAATAATAAAAAATATAAAACCATAGTATGAAGCATTGGCTAAAATTTGAAGTTTGGCATCAATCTCTCCTCTGACATCATAAAAGGCTAATTTGGCGCCGTATTCTCTTTTGGAATGAATTCTGCCTATATTCAAATTTATAATTATTAATTAATAAAAAACAAAAGCATAATAATTTAATCTGCAGGGCCATTTTAAAATTAAATGTTGTAAGGTGACCAGTGCTTAATCAGAGATTCATAGTGATTTCCAATCCAATTTAACAGCTGATTGATTTTTAAAAATCTTTTACAAAGATCAATATTATTTTAATTTTATTCATGATAAATAATCTAAATTTTTTTATTGATTTTGATAAAGAAAAATTGAACTCATAAATGGATTTTAAAATACATCAGCTGTTAAATTGTGTCAAAAAGAATAATTAAAATAAACTATCAGTGATGACACTTTTATTTAATTATAAGCGTTATATATATAAAGTGTGCATGTCATTTTTAGGATCCTTCAATTAATCATTCATATTATTTTTCCTACTGGTGTTCATCTAGTCAAATGTGGTTAATAATTAAGTATCTTACCTCTTACCACATTAAATTTTATCCACTTAATTTTATCAGTTTCAAATTAACCTTTTTTCTATCACACAACCACTTTAAATTGAGACTTCATTTTTTTTCCTTATGATCTATATTTACATCATACTAAAATCTATCTTATTCTAAATTTTTTATTTCTATTAACACCTGACATAATCTTCCTTTTCCCTTTCAGGCCTCAATATAGGACAATGGATTGCATCCAGATAGTGGTAAAAACTGTTTTTTAATTTTTCTTAAATAGGATTTTTTATAGCGAAATTGTAATCATTTTACATGAAATTGGAATAGTTTCAGCGACATCTTTAAATCATAAGGTTTTTTAACAATGGTTAGTAATGTTGTGAAAGAAACAACACAAGAAACGAAATTATATGAATAGAAAGTGCAAAATCAATTTAGTTTAGTAAATGGGAAAAATTTAGGTTTTATTGTTTGTCTAATGATATTTCCCCTATTCAATTAGGTGTATAATGAGAACAAATTTTATCAATAATTTTTTTTAAATTGATCATAATAATACCTGCAATATTGACAATCTCATTTTGTAGCACTTGTTCATTTTGCAAATAAGAATATTTGTCGATAAAGCCCTTGAGAGATATGGACACATGAAATTTATGTGGGTAGGGATAATGAGAGGAAGGATTGGCCAAATAGTTGGTATCTTTCTTGTTAATGTTGCTATCAAATGATTTCATATAATCAATTAAGAAAGATGATTTGAGTTTTTGAACAGCCAAACTTCGAAGTTTGTAATATTCCTATGAAATAAATATGTATGTATATAGATAGGATATGTATATTTAATTGAATAATATAGGATTATAAGCTTAGAAACCATTAGGAACAATATAGCCTTTTAAAGTTGAAAATCATGCATAATATTTACTGACTCATTTTAAAAAAAGATTTAGATTCAATGTACTATATATATATTTTATTTTGAGGAAATTAAAAATCTTATAACTTTTTATAATAATATTTTTTTAGAATACTGCTAAACCCTAAGTATCTGTTAAATTTTACCAAATCTAGTGGGTTTGATATTTAATAAAATTAGTATTTCTCATTATCTAATATAAACACCAACCCTTATTTTTGTTGCAATCTTAACTAACAGGTATCAAGGTCAGTGAGCCTTAGCCTGAACCCTGTCTTTAGAAACTTATTGGCTGCTTCTAGTTTGGTTACCTTCCAAATGTAATAAGGATATCTAAATAAAAATGGCAAACCTATACCTCCTCCAACACATCAATCTCAATTATAATCTTGATTCATAACCACCTCCCTTCAAAAGAAGTACCCAGAACTTACTATTATATCATACTGTAAAGTAAATTCATAAATATTACATTTGGATCAATGGCTTCTTCTTCATCTCCCTTTAATTTATTTTTGGAATCATCTGTCTTACACTTTGAGTTAAGTATAGTGTTTGTTGGACCATTTAAGTCTGGTTGTTCTATTTCAATTTTAGATTTAGCTTTTTGTTCAGCTTTTAATCTTCTTTTAAGTTCACTGTATATAAAAATATTTTATCTAAATTTGTAATATTATTGTAATGAATAAGATGCTTGTTAAAAACAAGTTTACCGATTAAAGTAAGAATATCTTAAAATTGAAGTAGATTTTTTTAAAGCTGATGTTTTTGCAAAATCATTTGAAATCTTTATGATTTTATACATTTGTAAATAAAAAGTTCAAAAATGAACTTAATAAAAGTTTGTTATATATTATTTTTAAAAAATAGGTATACTTTTTACTAATTTTGGTATCACCCGTAGTTTCCATCACGATAATTGAAATATTTTTTTTTAGAACCTCGCAAAGCACATGTGGGGAAATTGAAAATTATGATGAAAATATTATCGTTATACCATAATATCGAATTTTATTTATAAAATGGAGATTTTTGTAATAATATTGAAAAAATATGAAGAATCGTAAAACTATTATATTATTGACTTACTTCTCATGATTACATACATGTTGTCTAAATAATTTGATAAAGAAATTTTTATTATATGTCGGTAATAAAAAATTTTGTTACCTATTGTATAACAAGATATGGTAAAATAAGTAGTTAAATATATACACACGGGTATAGTCATTGTTGCCCCTTTATTTATATCCCAGCTTATAGATGTTTAAATAACCGTCTTTGAACTGATGTGCATACAAGTATTTATGGCTGCCCACATAAGCGTAGAAAAGGGGGGGGGGCAAGGGGAAATCTCCCCTTCAATATTTTATCACTTTTTGTAAATATCATTTTAAGCTAATAAAAAATATCCCCCTTAGTCCTCCCCCCACTCCCTGACCCCCTAAAATGTATGCATATAACTTAAACTATTTGAAAGAAAGAATGTAAAAGTTTATATTTTTTATAAAACTATTTATCATAATTTATACATTTTTGGAAAAAGCATTTATATATATAAAAAAGTGAACCAAAAATGTTTTTTAAGAAATAGAATATAAGCCAAAGATAAGTCATAATAATCAAATATAATTTTTTAAAGAGTGAGTAATTTTAATTTATATTTAATAAAAGTAAAATATAATTATAAAACTATTGATAAAATTAAAGCATAAATTAAATAAAAAAATTAAAGCACAATACAAACAGTGGAATATTATATGTCGTAGATTTACAGTATATCTAATTTTATCAATTATAATATGACAATCAAATAATTTTTAGCAATATAGCGAAATATATATTTTACAAATCTATAAAATATTGATAAGGACATCAGAAAATATCTTTTAAAGACATTGTGGTTTAAAATAAATAGATGGCTAAATAATTGGATGCAAAATGTTGCTATATTTATTATTAAGAGCATTGATTAGTAATTTTATTAAAATATTAACTGAAATATATTATATAACTGTAAAAATGTCTGTAAATGTGGAATTTTACCTGGTATTTTTAATTAGTGGAATATCAACTATATGTCAACCTAATTTTTATAAATAAATTTCTTATACTTCATTGGAATAAATTATTACCATGTTTTTATATTAATGTATATGCAAGTAATTTATTATAAAAATATATTTTATATAAGCTAATAAAAATATATTTTATATAAACTAATAAAAATATATTTCATATGGGTCTGGGGACGAAGCCCCCAGATATTTTATAATCCCCCCCCCCCCTTAGGAAAATTCTGGCTACGCCTATGGCTGTACACATACGTGTAAAGGGTTACTCATTTTTAAATTTACACCTAACAAACTTATTTCAGTTAGATGGAAATGAGGAATATATAGCGTAGCTTTAATGAACCTTCAACGATAGGGGGCAACAACTTTCTATATGTATTAAGATATGATATATAGCCTTTATCACTCTGGCATTTGATTTTTCTATACATTAAAGGCTTTTTTAATTTTATTGTATGCACTAAATGAATTTTAGATAAAATTTTATATTTACGAAGTGCGTATCTTGTATTTGGTCCTCTGCATTTGTGCGATTAGATCATACTTTAGTGTTTAGTCTGATCTGCGCAATCAAAGACACCAAAATCAAAATATAATATGATGACCTTAAGCTAAGTGTTTGTGTGTAAAGTTATTAAAATATGAAATACAAGAATATAAAACATAATTCTTATAAAGGTGATTTTAGAGCATGTGTAGCATATTCTGTTTAAATTTTTTGGTTTAGTGCTTAGGCTACCAAATGCTCTTTTTTTAGGACGACCAGTCTTATATTAAAGTTGAATTTTTTTTCTCTATTTATGATGTATAATGCAATTTACTATCTAATTTAAGAGTAAAATTTATTCTTACATATCTTCATAGCTTAGGCTTAATGCTATAGACATTATTCAAAAAAGAAACGCTTAACTTTTTATATTTAAAAAAAGCAACGCGTTATCGTTACTAGTTACGTGAAAATAGGAACATGTTACTTACTATTATAAAAATGAACTATTAAAAAAACTAAATATTAAATAAAAAAAACTTTTTATTATTTTCCCCCATAAATACTTAAAATACAGTTTTATAAGATAAGTTCGTTTGTAATTTTTTTATATATTTTTAATAATTGATTTGCAAAATTTTGATCATAAACTAGAGTGCATAGTTCCCTTGAAAGGTTGTATTATATTTAATAAATAAAATTTTAACTGGGGAAAATATGGAATATTTGAAAAATGATTATTATTTTCAAAAAAACACTTTCATAAAAATCTTTATTCAGATTGTCGAAGGAGATATCCCTCGACAAATATTGCAGATTCATTTTTTAAAAAATCTTTATATGAATTTGATCTCAATATCTTAATCTTCATATATCATTTTAGATTTTAGCTGCTGGATATCAAGGTTGAAATATTTGAATAAGAGCAAAATCTAAACTTATAAAGTTGTAGAACTAATGCTCTTAATTTTCCTTTTTATTTTTGGTTAAATAATGCTTCATACTATGGCCAGGGCAGTTAAATAATCATCTGAAGAATTAGTAAAATGATTATTCGTTCTTTGCATTGATTATTTTTTTTTGTAAGAGAACTTTTGAATTCCAGGGCAATTAGTAATCATTTTTGATTTATTTTAACAATTAATTTTTGTTTAAAAATATTTTATATTTATGTAAGTTAATATTATTAGTCAAAATTATTATATTTTTATATTTTATTATTGTTGAATATTAATAAATGAATATATATTTGGGAAAAATAAAAATATAAAAAATATTTAAAAAATGTATTGCCATATTATAAAAATTATTAGTTTTTTATATTATATTATTTTTGTTAAAATATATTTTTTTAAATAATATTTATTTTAAAAAAAATACAAGTATAAAAAGCGTTAAAAAAATATATTCAGATTATGAAAATTATTACCTTTTTATATTATATTATATTTGTTTAAATTATATTTTTTGGAATTCTTTGTGAATTATAAATTGAATATAATATAGGAGTCAGTGTCTCGAGCACGTTTTAACTATACGATTGGTGAATTATTATTAAAAGTGAAGTCGGGTTAATATTTTTTTTATATTAAAAACTAATTAGTAGAAAAACAATATACGAAAAAACGTTGAAAACTAATTAGTAGGAATAGTGGCATAAACGGAATAGGTGAAAACTAATTAGTTGATGTATATTTATATTATTGGTATTATTTATTTGCAAATAGTAATAAACGCTAGAATGAAGACCTTGAAATTTGTGAAGTACTGGGAGGTACCGTATAATATGGCATTGGTCATATTATTAATATAAATGTGTAGTTTAATCTGGGGAATAAGAACTAGGAAAAGTCGCAGTGTAAGAATAAAGGGGCAGACTTTGACCATAGAAGAGCATGATGGGGAAGAGGATGTGATGGGAAAGGTAACGTGATTACCAGTTCAATAGTTAATCAACGGGTGGACAGATAGTACTAGTGCTGTAATCATTCTAAAAAAATCGAACTCGTTCACGTTCAACCTTCATTGACAAAAATTGAACGCGTTCACGTTCATGTTCAAAAAAAATGAATGCGTTCACGTTCATAACCGTTCAAAATTTTATGATAAATTTTTTTTAAATTTAATTTAATATAAATAAACTTATATTTTTTAATACAATACATTTTAGCCAAAAAAATAATATATTTTTATTTTGATAAGATAATTATAAATATAATATAATATAATATAATATAATATAATATAATATAATATAATATAATATAATATAATATAATATAATATAATATAATATAGCGAATAAAAAGATATTTTTATTTATAAAAAATTTTTCTTATTAAATTTTAATAACAATTGTTTTTAAAATATTTATCTGATAGACAGGAACACTTGGCAGTTAATACGGCATTAGCTATACTAAAAACACCCTCTACAGGGGCGGATGAGGGGATTGCGGTATTATACTTAATAAACAGCTCTTTTAACGTAAAGAATTCATTAAAAACATATTGTTTTGTTATTTGCAAAAAATTGAGATAAGTTATCCTTCTCCAATCCATTCTCTACTCTCGACAAAAAATAGGATATCTCGAAATCATCAGTTCTCTAGGGTTTTCAAAGCATTTTTTTCAATAACGCTATAAGTTTATTTTTAATAGGCTCGTTCTGTGGAAGTTTTAACCATGGCCATTGAAGTTTGAATGTTGGAGGTATAATTGCAGAAAGAACATATTGATCCTTATATATATATATCTTCAAATCTTTAAAAAAATATAATATATGTAATTAATTGAGAGTGATTACCTTTTATTAATCCCATTTAATACGGCGTCTATCAATGGATGACCATATTTGAGGCCACTAATTTTTTTAATTTTAAAATAACTATCGTTATTGTTGGGGTCAAATATCCCATATGCATTATTTCTTCAAATTTAATGATTTAACTTAGTTATATCATATAAAATCAAACAAATGTTTTAAATTGGAAGCTGAAGATTTTGACAATATAATACTTTTTGGCCACATTTTACACTTGGTAAGAATTGGATTAGTTCCTTCAATATAGGATGTTAATGTAAAACATTTATCATATTTGGCCATAGTAATGATAATTCATCTGAATTTAGATTTTCAGAATCAGATGATGAGGATTAAATAATAATTACATGCTTGTGCTAATCTATTAAATTAAAATATAAACAATAATATTCAAATTAATAAATTATGTGTTAAAAAAATTGAAATGTGAAAAGGAAATAAACAGCCGATTAAAAAATATAAATAATATTAAAAAATTCGGAAATATTAAATTTTTCAAATAAATAAAGATAAAAATATTTTTAAAATTGAACGAACGTTA